CTCATGATAAAAGAGACTCTCAGGTATATGTGGATACAGTATATACATATACAACAAGTATTTAATCTCTACACCCCAAAAAATATGGGACTGCCAATTTTCTCCTACCCATATAATCTTTAGGATGAATATTGCCTTTTTGTGACATATTCCCTTTTAAGCTGCCCTCTGGAAGGGAGAGGAGGATGAGAAGTGTGATTTGGTCCAAGGAATAATAATAGCTCAGGAAACTAATGATACGACCATAGAGTTATAAAATAATACAGTGTCTAACACTATTTGATGTAGAAAGAATCTTTGAAATTATCTAGTCGAATCCCATAATTTTTACATGAATATACCATTTCAGAGTGGAAAGATGCTTCAGTGGACACCGAACCCAATTCTTATCAAGAAAAAATTCCTTCTTCTGTAGCTGCCCATGTTGTGACTCAACCTTTATCTTTATCTAAAGAAATCCAGCCTGAAGGAGGACCTACCACTTTTGGAAGCAGCCCACTCTTCTTTTATGTGACTCTAAATGTCTGGAAGATTTTCTGACAAATTTGCCTCTTTTCAATTGCCACTCATTGCTTCTTGTGCACTCCTCAAAGGACAGATCTAGTTTAATTTGTCTTCCAGGTGAAGAATGTTTTAAACACTGAAAGACACCCAGCCTTACCACTGTAATTCTCTACTGCACGCTAAGTGCTCCCCGCTTCTTCAACTAGCCTTTCTCTAGACCCTTTTCCATCCTAGCTGTCATTCTCTAGGCACTCAAGATTATTCATTTCCTTCCTAAAATGTGTCACTTAGACTTGCACATGATACTTCAGATTTGATTTGACTCTCTTCACTTCCTTGGTTCCGGAAATAGGGGCTACTCTCAACCTAGCATGATAAAATACAGATAAGACCAATGAAAGCCCACCTAGCAAACTAAATTGTACAAGGTCACGGAATGAATGAATGACATAGTGTGGAAACATCACTGGATTTGGAATCTCGATCAAGTCAGGAATTTTCTACATTCTTTAGAAAAATTACTTCTTCTTTCTACCATACAACTTTCTCCTAAGTAAGGGGGTTAAACTATATCAGGGATTCTCAACCTAGAGTCAGTGAATTTGTTTATATTTAAATATTTCGATAAGCATATTTGAATATGATCAATTTTATTTTTAATTCTATGTATTTTATTTTATACATTTAAAAGCAATGTTCTAAGAAAAAGGGTCCAGGACATAAAAGGGATTAAAAATTCCTGGGCTATAAGAATGTGAACATCTCTCCCAACTCTACCATTTTATGATTCTATTTTGCTAGATATAAATCTCCATAGTTATTACCCAATAGAGTCAGGATTTCAAGTCCACTTCTTAAAAGGGAAAGTGGAGGGAGCACTAATCTAGGAGGTGACAGGGAAAAAAGGAATGGGTGCCAGCCCATTAAAAGTTGCTCCTAATGTTGATAATATCCAAGATGAACAACCGCTGGAAAAGAGATATAAGATAAAGTTAAGAAGTCAATCACTGATAGCTGTTACTTGGTAACTCTTTGTGATTATGTCTTCCCCATACAGACTAGGATTAGGGACCAACTTCTAGCTATAATAGAAAGGTATTATAATGCCCTGAGTATCTCAAAACAATTCATCCCAGAAGAGTTTTTGTTAATGTTCGCTTTCTGCAAACTGCTGTATCTAGATGTGTTGCCCTGGGATACCGGTATGGCAGAATTCCTCTCCGCCCTCTTCCTCCTCCACCCCCCAATCTAACTGCTTTCCCTGCTGATGAGGTGCAGTCTGAGGCAGGCAATTTGCAATTGCAAATAATTTACACTTGACAAAAATAACTAGGGTCTCAGCAGAAAATAAATGATCTTGGAGATTTCAGGCTCTATCTTTGGCTGCAGGGAATGTTTTATGTATTCTCCTCAGTACCCATTTAAAAGTGTCAGCATTGAAAATCCTTTTGATTGAAGCTTCAATCCTTCCCACTCTAACCCATGAGGAAGATTGTTGCTTTAATTATACTAAACATCTAGCATAATGTCAGCTGAAGTTGGGGTTTAGTTGTATTGAATATAATGGCAACAAGAGCCTATACACAGACACACACACACACACATACCCAACTCTTCGTTTAGTGAAAAATGAAAGAATCTCTAAACGAAAACTGCTGCTCCTTCTTCAACCAAAGTAAATTTTGGTGTCATGGTTTCTAGAAGTAAACACAATCTCCCTATGTGATGTAATTACATCTTAGCTTTCTGAAGAAGAATACTTTATAGCTTAAATGCTATTAATTGTAAGCCATTTTGTTCCACAGGAAGTTGTTCATTGATAACTACCCAATTAGGGTTATTTTGCAATTAGTCTATTCACAGTAAATTTATTGCAACAGGAGGAGTCTGTGGAGCAGCAAATTAAAGAGTTGTTGGGTCTGTATATGGCAAGGACTCTCGAATGCCAATCTTATTAAACAGTTTATAGCTCTCTGGAGAATTCGGCCATGTTGATTAATATGTTTTGAGATGAGTCCCAGGCAAAATACCTTGCCAGAGAACATGCAATAAGCTAGATCCCCTTCAGCTCTAATTATGGGCCTGCACCTCTACACGTGATGATAGACATGTGTACCTTGGAATAATGTGATACATTTACATAGGAAGGCAAGTATACCTTTCCCATACCCAAATACTTTCTTTTACATTCACAGATCTAGAAAGGTCTAATCTCCAGTAAGAATAAATGAGGAAAACTTTCCCTACAAGTAAATACTGCTGCATCTTAAAACATGAACTAAATCTCTATAAGCAGCTAATTTTAAACCCAAATTCCCTTTGACTTTAAGTAGAAATATATGTTCTAACAAAACAAGGTAAATAAACATGCAACTCTCCTTTCTACCGAGGAAAAATCATGAGACAAACAATTAAAGAATACTTTGATTCCAACAGGGGCCCTTAAGATCATTCTACTGGATTACCATTAATGCTGTGTAAATTTTGCGTTGGTTTCCTCAGCACTGAGAATAGATGTACCCTAAGGTATCCACATACCCTCTTGTTCTTCTACTGTTGCTGTTCAGTTCCTTCAGTTGTGTCCAATTATTCAAGACCCCATTTGGGATTTTCTTGGCAAAAAAACTGGACTGGTTTGCAATTTCCTTCTACAAGTCATTTTTTTTCAAACTTATGAGGAACTACGGCAAACAGTATCAAGTGACTTTCCCAAGGTCATACATCTAGTTAAGTGTCTACAGATTTGAAATTAGGAAAAAGTCTTCCTGACTCCCTGATATCAAGCCCAGCATTTTATACACAACGTTCCCTGGAAGCTTTGACTTGTTTTCCTTATAAACAATAACAAAAGGGTCTACTGAGCCAAGACGATGCAACCTGTGGGCTTTGGCACAAAATGAACTATCCCATTTGGACCTAAGGACCATACTGTTTGCCTCACTAGCACAGTGCTCTGACTAATTCAGGTAAACAACTTCATTTGTTAATGATTCAGAAGTCCCACATTAAAAGTGATGCTTCTTCTCTAGCACTAAAGTCACTTCCAATTTAGGAATCAAGAAATAAGTGACAAAGTCTCACTAAACCTTAGTCTTAATCTGTTCAGGAGAACACAAGGAAAATACTTCAGTTATCTAGAGGAAAACAAAAATAAAGCCCAGTTTTCTACTTGGCTTATTTCCTAAAATGCAATGACTGGACAAGCGTCACACTGGCGTTGTTGGACCATTTGGCCTGTCTACATTCACAGCATAATTTTTATCTCCGTCTCTACCTCCATTTATATAGTCAGCTCTATACACATGTGAAAATGCCTAGAATCCTTCCAGGGAGTTCATTGGTGTTTTCTAGAATTCTAGGTCCATAGTTCAAATAACTTATCAACCTAAACTGGGGATCCTTTGCTGTTGGTGGATCAACTAACACTTCACTGGCACTCTCCTACTCAATAAACTCCACTGGTTCCTTATTACCTCTTAGAGCAAATATAAACTCTTCTGTTCTCCTCTTCACAAACTCCACACTTCTGCTAAACTGGCCTTCTTATGTCCTTACATCTCCAGTCTCTTTATAAATGCCATCTTTCCCACCCTCAGTGCCTGCCTTCCTCACATCTGCCACTGAGAATACCTAATTTCCTTTAAATCTTAGCTCAACCACCACTATATATGTAACCTTTTCTGATTGCCCTCATTTTTAGTGCCTCCCTCACAACCACAAAATTATCTTTTATATATTTTGCATTTTGTACATATTTATATACTGTATACTCTTCACAGGATATAAACTCTTGGAAGGCAGGGAATTTTCAAATTTGTTTTTCTCTTCCCAGCAACTAGCAAAGTGTGTGGCACATAGAAGTGGCTCAATAAAGGATTCTTAAATGATTGATTCATAATACTAACACATTCATCTTACATCAGTGGTGGTGGATTGATCAATCAGCATCATTCTAGTTAATAAAACCATCCAATAATGTAAGGAGTAAGAGGCTGTGGTTGTACCTTGTTATATTTCTAGGGTCCCATAAATGCAAAATTCCTACACACCGACATTATGAATACTGTCTCAATAAGCACTACTTCAGGTAACAGAAGACTAAGACATAATGAGAGAGTTTTAACATGTGTTCTTAAAAATTTTGCAATATTAAATACAGTATTAATATAAAATTAAATATTAAAATACTAGTATTAAATATCCTGGTAATAGGAATGTCATATTATACTACTGTTGTTTATTTCCCTGAGTGCCTACCCAGCACATAAGTTGGCAGTCAGGAAATTCTTCTGTCATGAATGAATGAATGACTCAACCTAAAATAGAAGCCTCAACACGTTTATAAGATTCTTACAGCTCAAATGCAAAATTCTGTGGTGTTACATTAACTTATTGCACAAACAATCTGAACCCAAAGCAGTAAAGAATGATATTAGGAATGAAAGGGGAAATCTTTACGATTCAGAGAAAACATCTCCCTTTGGCCAATGACTTACCTTCAAGGGGACAGAATCGGGTCACCTTCTCTGGCATTAGCTTCCCCACCTTGTGTTGGCAATATATCTCCGCAATTTCCTGGCGACATTGTTTGGATTTAGACCGGGACACAGCTGAGATGGCCTCCTTGCCAGAGATGTCACACCTTGGCAGCTGATCGTATTTGAGTTCAGGGGAGCCAGCCCCATTCTTCCTGGTATGGGGTTGCTTGGAGGACTTAGGAGTTGCCTTGGTGGCACTACTGTTCTGGGCAGCTTGATTGCTGTACTGTAAGGCTTCATTAGAGCCTTTTCCCAGGAGTGAATTCTCCTTTACTTTTTCCTCCTGCTCTAGTTTCTTCTTCAAATGTTCCTTCTGTTTACTCAGTGACTTCCTTCCCAACTCTGGCTGCTGCTTCTGCCTCTGAGTCCTCGCAGCAAAGTTACTGTTATCGACATTTTCAAAGTCTTTTGGCACTGAGTTTTCATTATTGCTATCTGTCCTCATTTTCTCCTTGGGACGGTGAGAAAAATATCCTTCCTATAAAAAGTGGGAAGTAAAACAGAAGTATTAACAGAAGTGCATGATTAACATGACAGGTTATATGGGATGGTAAAAAGAGCATAGGACTGAGAATATGGAAGATAGAATTTTAGTTCAGACTTTGCTATTCACTAGCTTTGTGACCTTGTGTTACTCAGGCACTATGGACTTCAGATCCTCCAAATGTAAAATGAAACTATTAGATAAGATCAGTAGTTCTCAAACTTCATTTATTCATTATCACACCACAACACTGCTGGCCATCGTGGCAATGGTAAGGATGTTTAGAATAGTATTAAGAAAGGGTTTGGAGGTAAAAGGGACTACAGACCCACAACACAAACCTTGGGACTCAAGTCAATATTTATTAAGCACTCCTATGTGCCAGGCAAGATCCTAAGCCCTAGTTAAGTAGAAAGACCACACCTGCCTGTAAATAGTTTCGATTCTAATAACAGAAGATAATATATGAAAGGAAGCAGACAAGAAATGGCAAACAAATGGTCAGGATAGAAGGCAGAGGAGGTCCACAGTATACCCTGGAGAGATTGTTCTGCCTCTTACCTCCTTCCTTCACTTCTTTGCTTCCCTGGGACTCATGGGAGAGGAGGCAACTTTGTCCTTCTGAGAGATAAGAGTTGCAAATGAGGAATTTATGATGCCAAGCTGGGAAGTGCTGGCAGTAAATAAATGTGAAGCTTAGCAGTATAGGAAGGGGTTTCATGGTATATCCTCTGAAAATCATTGGACTAGACAGTATACAAGGACTCTCTGAGACGCACCCTTATCTCAATTAGACCATTATGAACAGAAGAGCTACAACCTGTCATTCAAGTTCCATCATAAAATACTAATTGTTGATCTGAGTCAGCAGAAATGATATTCCAAAAGATAACTGCATATTATACATAAAATACACATATAAACAATGTATCAAAAAACAGGCTTTACCATTGGTAGGAAAACTTGGAAAAGAATGTTGGATTTCAAATAAGAAGTCTTCGATTTGAAATATACTTGCTACCTACATGATCTTAAGACAAGTCACAGAGAGAGCGCTGCCCTAGTGAAAGTAACACAAAATCTCGAAACTTCACTTCCTTCATCTGAAAAATGAGGGAGTTCGTTCACTGACAAGGGAGAAAGGCAATCACAAAACAGGAAACAAAGAACATCAATTATATGAAACTGAAAAGCATTTACAATACTGTCAGAATAATAAAGTCAATTGGGAAATAATCTTCTCATCAAATATCTTGGATGAGGGTCTTATACTGAAGATATGTAGGGAACTAACGCAAATGTACATGAGCAGAATTCATTTCCCAATGGATAACAGGGAAAAGCATAAGAATAAATACTTCTCAAAAGAACTGTAAAATATTATAACTATGTAAAAGATTATGTCAAATTACTACTAATAAAACAAATTTGATTCAAAACAACTATTTCACACCATACATATTGGCACGGAAGATAAAAGAAGGAAACAACCGATTTTGGAACATGAGTATCAACACACATTATACATTTGTTTCTCTTGTGTCCAATTTTTCATGACACCATTTGGGATTTTCTTGGCAGAGATATCTCCAGTGCTTTGACATTTCCTTCTCTAGCTCATTTTACAGATGAAGAAACTGAAGCAAACAGGGTTAACTAATTTGCCTAGGGTCACACAACTATTAATTGTATGAGGCTGATGCCAGGTCCAGCACTCTATCTACCACATCAAATGCACTTTGTAATTATAGGGATACCAAAACTAGGTATATGCCCCCACAAGGTAGAAATATACAAAACTATAAAGAAAAATGTTACAAACGACAACAAATTTATAGCAACAGAAGGGAATAGGCAGTTATATAGTACTTATTGTGTGACAGACACTATGCTACGCGTTTTACATATATTATCTTATTTTATCCTCACAACTCTTCCAAATAGGTGCTGTTTTCCTCATATTACACTTGAGGAAATTAAGTAAAACAGAGCTTAAGTAATTTGCCCAAGGTCACATAGCAGGTAAGTGTCTAAGGTTGGATTTGAACTCAGGTCTTCCTGACCCCAACACTTTACGTTCGTGCAAGCGTGTGTGTGGGGGGCGGGCGGGGTGTCAGAAATGGTACCAATTCTATGTGTTGTGTTGATAACAAATTTTTTTTAGTAGCAAAATGATTGGGAACAGCTAAATAAATTATGGTCCACGAATTTAATGGCACATTTTACTGCCCTACAAAAAAACATAAACATGCACACACACACACACACACACACATACACACACACACATGTACATATATATATATATATATATGAAAAAATATACAGAAAAGTCTGGGAAGACACATGAACAAGATAAGAAGCAGAAACATAGTAAGCCCAATGACTAAAACAATGTAAATAGAAACAACAACAAAAATCAAAACTGAGCAATGTGTAATTACAATGACCAGTTTTGGCCCTGTATAAAAGATATGAAAATTACACATACCCTTCTTCTCTTGTTTTTGAAATGATGCAGCATGAGTGGGAAGAATTCTCTTTTATCAGTCTCAATCAGTTAATTTTGTTAAGAAATGAATGGCTCTCTGGGTGGGGAAGTAGTGTAATGGACACACTGAGAGTGCAATGTAAAAAAAGACTGATAATTTTTTAAAAAATTTTTTAATGGACGGATTGCTTAGACTACATAGCCTCTAAGTTACCTACCAGCTGAGAGGAAGATATTCAATATTATTGCTTCAAATGCATTCAATCCACGTTTTCCTTCTTCATTTCACTACATTCCCATTTCTCAAACTATATGATTTTGAAATCTATTTCTTCTTCTTCCCTGTCCCCAGAAAACAATATGGTTGCCCCGGAAAGACTCAATGATGACTCGAGGACAGGGCAATCTACTACTGTTTACTGCAGTTTGAGTCTTGATGAAGTAGTTGGCAAGGTAGAAGGGGATTCTGTGTCTGGCCATCATTTACACTGCCAATGCTGCCAGTTAATACTCCTTCCAGGGCAATGAGGAAGTCCTGAGGATGGTCAAGGTCAGGGATCCAGGGATCCATACTTCTCCCTTCTTGAAGCAAGGATATGAAAAGAACTGCCATAAACAGCTATGACAGGTAGTGTGGTATAACACTCCCCTGCTCAGGAGCCCATATCTGAGTTCAAATCTCATCTGTGACACACATTGGTGGGATAACCCTGGGCAAATCACTTAAACTTTCAGTGCTTCTAAGCAACTCATTAAGACTAAGAAAGAACCCTAGCCTAGTATGAACAGAAAGAAACATGCACAATTTTCTCATAGTACTGAATTATGACTCCATTTGATTTTGTGGAAGGCAGAGGACTATTGTAGACCTAGACTTAGTGGCCTCCTAAGGTTACAATAACAGATGTAGGAAGTCCCATCTGGAAACTAACTGTGCAGCCCTGATCGAATTTAGTACCTCAGATTCCTCATTTGTAAAATGGGGAGCTATAACAAAATTCAGTATACTTTCTAATTTTATCGAGCTTCAAATCTTTTATTTTAGAAATAAACTGCAACAATCACATGGCAAAGTAATAGGAGGCTAGTGAGCCCAGACTTCAGTGATTTCATCCAAAATGGAAACTGAGCCCTTTTTCATTATACTCAAATGCAGTTCAACAATAATGTCTCAATTTTTTCTTGAATGTATTGTTACCTCACAGAACCTTTTGCTGTTGTTATAACATGAGAAATTATATATATATATACACACACACACACACACACACGCATATATATATATATACGTATATATGTATATATATATGTGTAGGATGAAGGGACAATATGTATGGAGAATTTTGATTACAAACAAAATAGAAATTGCCTACATAATTTTGCCCTCTTTCCTACGGGGCAATGACTACCAGAGAAGATGTCTAGGTTTTATTTTCTGAGAGGGGTGTGTGCATCGCATAATGGACAATTGTTCAATCTCAGTTTCAGGAAGATTTAAGTTTAATAGCTGCATAAGGTCCACGCTAGCTGTTCATGTCCATGTCCATAACTCTTCATGCTAACATGGGGAAGTTACTATTTAAACTCTTAGCACCCAAAACAAATCTTCAACACTGTAACAACCAGGAAGTTCTCCATAAAAATTTAGTCACAGGTCCTTACTTCCTTCTAATCCCCACAAACAAAATGAAAGAAAGTAAAAACTTTTCACACAACACAGAGTCTATTCTTTCCTCTTCTCCTGTACCCACAACACAAAGTAGATTGGCAAAAATAATCTAAGGACCAAACACTAGTAATACTGTGTACTGCAGAGCAAAGCAGCTCCTAGGCCTCGACATCACTTATACTACCAATGCTGAGGACTGTCACTGCTTGCAGAGCAGTGACTTAAATCACTGACCATGGTCAGAGTCAGAGGTACAGGTATCCGAACCTGTCCATTCTTGAAGTAAGGATATGAAAAGATTTGCCTTAATAAAAAGCTATGACAGGAATTGTGGTATAACAAAGCTGGCCTTAGAATGCCAGGTTTGAGTCCTGTCTCTAACACATACATAGGATAACCCTAGACAAATCACTTAAACTTCAAGTGCTTTAGACAACTCCCTAACACTAAGCTTCAGACTTCTCCTGGGCTTTCCCTACACCAATGAAAATCACAAATCTATTCCCCCAATATTGAGACCTACAAACAATATTCCTGTGGTCCTGTTTTATAAAAAGAACACTGACCATGGATTAAGAAGAACTGGGTTCAAACAATACTTCTGACATTTACTACTTCTGTGACCTTAGGTATTCAAGAAGCCTTTATGGAGTACCTACAAGGTGCCAGTACTGGACATACAAATACAATAAACCTCCATAAACCTCAGATTCCTTACCTGTACAATTAAGGGGTTGGATCTTATGTCCTCTTATGTCCCTTCCAACTCCAAATCTATAAATCCATGATCCCAAAATTTACCTTTTACCCTGCCATGTTATCAATAGAAAGTTT